GGAAGGAGGTCAGGCACACAGAGCCACTGACTATAAAAGAGCAGCCTCAAAAAGCCAAAAGCCTGACCAACGCACACACAGGTGCCATTGCTGTGTATGTGGCAACGAGGTTTGCTCAGTGCTGAGGCACACCAGCCTCAGGCACAGGACGACACGGTTTCTCATGTGAGGACACACCCCTTCCTACACCACAGTCAGAGCTGCTTTATAATTATGTTTAACTTGTATCCATGCATGCAAGTGTGCAGACACCTGTGGGAGGCAGAAGAGCGTGGCATCAGGTGCTCCAGAGCTGTACTGAGAGGCGTGTTGTGAGCCGTTCTGCTTGGGTGCTGTGAACCAACTGGAGCTCCTAAACCACTGTGCCATCATCTCTCCAGCCACCGCCACCGCCACCATGGCATGTGCATGATGGGGGAGGACACACATGCCATGCACACATATGGGGTCAGTGCTCTCCTTCCTCCTTTACATGGGTCCCATGACCAAACCTCCTCTCATCTGTGACAGACACACCCCTGCACAAGGGTCAGTCAAGGTTGAGTAAGATGACCTTACTGAATAAGGTATAAGGAGAAGACGAGCTCCAAAAACAACTCGTCCTCTGACTCAACATGAGTGTTCATACTGGTGTGTATGCACACGCACATACGCGCACACACCAATAATTTTTGAAAGGCCAGTGGTAGCGTTTGTGTGATTGTAATAAGGTAGGAGGTACATAGGTAGGGAATATGTCAAGATGTGTGCTCATCCATGTCTGAACCTGATGGGAAATGTGATGAATTATGGGGTCTGCCTTTTTAAGTCCCCACAAAACGTGACTCATGGCCATTTCCTGGGAACCCAGGTATGGACCTAGCCAGTATTTAATTAAAGCTTGCTTCATATTTGGCTTTAAATTGTGGTAGTGGCCTTATTCTCGACCAGTGGGATTAACATTTTCTGGAGGCCCCCAACAAGATTCAGATCACCCACTTACAAATTCTAAAGCCAGACCTTCACAACTGAACTCCAGGGCTGAGGGGTCACTTCACAAAGCACAAGCTTTGAGACCTCCAAGGGTCCAAGGCTGATTCTGGTTCTCTCTCAGACTCTCGGGGTGAACTTCTGTGCTGAGAAAAGCAGCACGCATCTATAGAAACCTCCTGGTGATCACAGACTTCTGTTCTGTAGGATCCCTGGCTGGGATGTGGAGGGGGTTGCACAAGACCCCAGTATTCTCCCTACCAGGGCAAATAGTGAGATGTCACCGGCCTGCCTGGTTCTGGTAGGATGGAAGGTTTTGTCTGTCTGTTTTTTATACGTGGACAGGTCTGTGTTCTCTGGTGTGTCTGTAAGTTTTGTTGTAAAATGCATGAAGCATGAAGGGTGACCACCACATGTTCTGTTTCTGACTACTCTTCTTTGAGCATGAGTTTTCTGTGTTTCTTGGTTATATTTTTGTTGTCTCTGCTGCCACCAGTCACCATGACTGCCATGGCTGCTTTTATGACCAGGGCTCAGAATTTATCTCTGAACTCTTCTGTCACTGAATTTGGATTAGCCAGAGTTCAGATGTCTTTTGAGTGTGGGTAGCATTGAAGTAGTTGCTCTATATTATTTGAAAGCTGGCCCTAGAGTTGGGTTATGGCTCTCTATTCTCTAGATCCAAGTCTATTTAAAAGCTTCCTCTTTGTCCTGTTAGTCAACTCACCCAACACTGTGACAGGGAGAAGAAAGCAAAGCAAAACAGCCAAAACTTGATTTGGTTTATGTGAGCATTCTATATCTCAGGATTTTTAAGTTTGTTTTATTGGGTATGGTTAAAAAAAAATCTGTAAAGCCGGGCGTTGGTGGCGCACGCCTTTAATCCCAGCACTCGGGAGGCAGAGGCAGGCGGATCTCTGTGAGTTCGAGACCAGCCTGGACTACCAAGTGAGTTCCAGGACAGCCTCCAAACACAGAGAAACCCTGTCTCGAAAAACCAAAAAAAAAAAAAAAAAATCTGTAAAATCTGTGAAAAAAGTTAGGTAATCTTAGAGGAACCATGTGGCATGATCTCATTGTGGGATATAAGCACCACATGCCTTGACGTCGTCTTTCGGTAGCCAATTTCATTAGGGCTGGAGTAGGAAGATGTCATGCAACTTCACCACCCTCTTTTGACAGCCATCTTTGCAAGGGTTAGAGAAGACGGAGCTCACGTCTTGATTAAAGGTGACCATGTGACATGGGCCAACCAAGGAGGCAACAACATGTCTCCCCGCAAAATTCTGGATTAGAATAGATTTTTATATGACAATATCTGTCCTGAGAACATGGTCTATGAAAGACCGAGGCAGACAAATCTTTGTTAGTTCAAGGCCACCCTAAAGTACAAGATAATTGAGCCAGACTAAAAGAGAAACAGCTCACACAAAGGCGGTAACAGCACTTGGGATCACATGCCACATGCCCTTAACCCCAGCACTAGGGCAGTGGAGACACGAAGGGATATGGCTGGGTGCAGAGGACTATAAGGCAGGGCAGTTTAGGCAGCATTCAGGCTAAGGATTCTTGGAGACAGGACCACCCACTTGGTCTGAGGTAGAGGTAAGGCTGGCTGCTTTGCTTCTCTATGCTTTCAGATCCCCCCCCCCAACATCTCACTCCCTGTTTTTATTATTAAGAACAATTAGAATTCATGCAACATTGAAGTCTATGCGAGTTCTGAGGGCCTACGAAAGTGTTCTAAGGTACATAAAGGTATGAGCCTATGAAAGCTTAAGTAAGAAAAGGACTTAAGGCATGTAAATGCAAGCTGTAAAGGTATAAGAGAGTGATCCAAGGTATGTGAAAACAGATGGGAAATGTTTCAGGCTTCCTTCCCCCATCCACTGCTATTGTTATATTAAGATTTTGAACAGTTTTAACATTGGTTGTGGGGTTCTGGTGAGCTATCTGAGCACTGATTGCTGTTAGCAGTCACAAGCCCAAGATTTTAGATCTCCTGTAGCTATTGTGGTGGTTTGTATAGGAATGGGCCCCGTAGACTCATGTGTTTGAATATTTGGACCACAGGGAGCTGCACTGTCAGGAGGTGTGGCCTTGTTGAAAGTAGTGTGTCACTGTGGGGTGGGTTTCGAGGTCTCATATGCTCAAGCTCCTCCCAGTGTAGCTGAGTCTTCTGCTGCCTGCAGTTCAAGATGTAGAACTCCCAGCTTCTTCTCCAGCACTGTGCCTGCCTGCATAACTCTCGCCATGATGACTAGGGACTAAACCTCTGAACTGTAAGCCAGCCAGAATTAAATGCTTTCCGTTATAAGAGTTGCCATGTCATGGTGTCCCTTCACAGCAATAGAAACCTTAACTACAACAGTCGTCTTCTAAGTATAGACTTAAAGATGATGCTTCTCATCATGCTAAAAGCATCTCTGTTCAATCTATATATCAGGTTTTCTGGATAGAAAAAGTATGTTCATGCTTTTTAATCCAAAACTATAGCTTTTGCTAGGACTTAGAAGTATGCACAGCTGTTTCACAAATACCTGCTAGCTGCTTTTTCTACAATGTGGATTCCAGTACAGATTACAGGAGATATCTAAAACTTTTATCTCTTTTTGTAAACTATAAATTCATGTAAGCTTTAGGGAGTCAAAGAAGTCACAAGACTTGTATCCACCTGCCACAGGTAAAGGGGACCCCAGGTAAGTATAGCCTAAGTTTCCCCACATGCCTATTCCTGATGGTGGGATCTCTCTCCCGGTCTTGGGACTTCTCCCATCTCCCCATGTCAAGACTATGGGCCTGAAAGTTCAAACCTTTAACTTCTGTCCCTAGTCTGTATCTGTCTCATCAGATTTCCACTTGCCTGACAGACACCATCCAGGAAACGGCTGCTGACTACAACCTGCTCCGAACCAGTGAACTTCCAGGAAGCTGATGTGAACCATGCTTACTCGCTGTCTCTTCAGCTGGGTCAGCTAACCAGATAGTTCTGATGCATGCCCTATTGCCTGAACCCTCTCCTGGCCTTTGACTACCATTCCAGCCTTCCTGGGCTCTGACAAGGACATCCTAGCTTCAGCAGGAAGTAGTTACAGAAGGTAACGTCTCACCCCATGTCTTCCACCAGGCTGGAGTTGTTAGATCAAAAGGAAACTTCCCTGGCTACCATAGTGCCTACTGGCTACCAGGGAAGGCACCTGTTAAAACCAAGTAGGCCCAGACCTATCAACAGGTAGATTCATTTGCTGAAATAGTTCTAAAATATGATAGGGCACTTGGCCTGCTTTATGCAGAACAAGGAGGTATTAATTCAGTTTTAACAACAACAAAAAAATGTTGTTTCTATACAAACCAGTCAGGAATCATTAGAAATAATCTGGCTGTCCTCAAAAAAGCATTGCAAAAAAGTAGATCTGAGATGAAATAAATGGCTGGTCTCCGTTCTCATTTCCAGGCTCCTCCTAGATAGTACTCTAGGACGGTCACCATAGGGTCTTTGGCCATTCTGTTTCTGCTAAGTACAGTTGGCTCTTGCATCATTGATGCCTTAACTAAAGGATAATTTCTGTCTGGTGGTTATTATAAACGCGTACCCATCACAGAGTCAAGGATTTGACTAAGGATACAACTCAAGGGTGGAATGTGAGAATCAAAGTTAAGTGCTAGAGACTATTGCCTATGTCTTCCCTTCCCTAAACAAGTTCGTTTGACCCCTGCACATGGTGTGCTTGATCATGTGGGTGGGAGGAAATCAGCACGTACACTCGCCCCTGATTGGATGTAAGCAGGAGGTGCATAGGCAGGAAATACACCAGGATGCACGTTTGCCCCAATTGGACCTGATGGGAAATGTGGTGAAATTTACAGTTTGATCTTTTCATCTCTAGTTCATTCATTCACAGAATCCAGTCAGCTGATTTAAACAGAGCAGAAAATTACATTTTGGGGCAGGCCTATAATTGCCTCACTTACCAAGCCAAGACTCTGGAATCCTGATCAGCCTGGATTAAGATAAATCATTAAGGCTGGGCAAGGTGGCACATACCTTTAATTCCAATATTCAGGAGGCAGAGTCAAAAAGATCTTTATGAGTTCAAGGTCAACGTGGTCTACAAATGGAGTTCAAGGGTAGCCAGGACTACAAAGAGAGCCTCTATCGCAATAACTAAGTAAATCATATCACAATCAAATCTGCAGGAAGGGAGAATTTGGATGATTCCTAACAAAAATGTTGGCTAAGAACAAATAAAAGACAAGGTATCTGAGGTTAAATGGGGGAGGGGAGCACTTGGGTATTTGGGGTTTTGTTGTTGTTGTTGTTGTTGTTGTTAAGAGTCTCTGTTTGCATGTGAGATCAACACTGATTAATTTCCAAGAGGGAAGAATTGTTTTCAGATCCCAAAGGAACCATTCAAAGACCTGAGCTAGAAGGAGAACTGTTAAATACCACCCAGAGACATCAACCAGGCCAGACACAGAATACAGACTCAGGAAAGGGGTACCTAAGGACCAGAAGCCGGCAAGGTCTAAACTATATATTCCCCATCCCTCTGGCTGTGTCACACAAGCCAAGCGGCTCTGATGCAACCTTTACCAGGCACACACAGTTCAACGAACTCTAGGCTGGAGCCTGTAAAACAAGTTTGTCATACAGGCTTTTCCCTTTTCCTGGTCCAGATCTTGTCTGGGTCTCAGGGCCTGCTCTTCTTCCGGTGGCCCCCAGGAAACTATGTCTTCGCAGACTCAACTTTTCCAGCTTCCTTGCTCTCCTATTGAGCCAGGAGCCACTGGCAAAGGTCGAGTTTTTGTGGCTTGCTCGAATTAAGTACAAAGACAAACTGAAAAAAAAAAAAATGCCACAGATTATGCAAGGAAGCCTTGTCAGAGCCAAGTAACCCAGCCTGAAGAAAACACAGTAATCTAAGCACTCATGTGCACATACATAATTGAAAATAAAATAAATCTTTTTTAATGTCCCTCCCAAGTTAACCCTGGTTCCCCAAGTACCCACTAGGCCACACCAACCCTTCCCCCAGCCCAGTGGCCCCAGCAAAGGGTAGGCTCTGGCTGGCCCAGCTCCAAGCTTTCAAAGCTGTTTTCAGTTTCTCTTCACAGCAAGAAACGCCACCCCATACAACCCCAGGCAGCCAAAGGCTGCACATCCTCCAGGAAGTCACCCACTGGAGCTGTAGCCCCTGGGTTCCCCACCTCCCAGCCCCTACACTCAAAGGCTTTACACTGTCATGGCTCACTGCTTTTACCCAGAATCTCAACACCCACAAACGCCATCAAGAACTCCAAAGACAGAGCCTGGTATCATAAGGCCTGCATGGTTCCCAGTTAGAATTCCTAATATCATTTATTAAAGAAATCAGCCGGGTGTTAATCCCAGCACTCAGGAGGCAGAGGCAGGCGGATCTCTGTGAGTTCAAGGCCAGACTGGTCTACCGAGCAAGTTCCAGGACAGTCTCCAAAACAATACAGAGAAACCCTGTCTCGAAAAACCAAAAGAAAAAAAGAAAGCAAAGATAAAAAGAAATTAGCAAATAAGGACACATACTTCCAGGCTGGTGACGATACTCAGGAGGTAAACTGTTCATCTCAAACTCTTGACAAGCTGACTTCAAGTTCCAGAACCCACGTGGAAGGAGGGAGAACTGACCACACACACACACTAAACTCCCACACTTTCCAAGCTTCTCAGAAGCAGGAAGAAGGGGCTTAAATAACAGGTTTTCCTTTAAGAACTACTAAAGTTATACACTTGAAGTTATGTTCCAATACTCAGGAAAACGTCAAGGTCAGTGGAGGAGCATGGTGGTAGGGCTGTAATCTTAAACAGATAGGAGGAGTTCAAGGCCATCCTGGGCTTCATGGGGAGACATGGGAGAAAAAACGGCATGCCTGCAATATCAGGAAAGTTTCAGACACTACACAACAGCAGGCTGTATGAAGGGTGATGGGGACTCAGGAAACATACTGAATCCCAGGCAGAATTGATAACTGACTGGGTTTCTGAAAGAGCCCAGAGCCACTGCAAAAGTCAAGCCTATTATATTGAGTCCTTGAGCTTGCTCTGAGTTCCGTCTGCCACTCTCTGTTTTGTGCCTTCGTGCTACACCAGAGGTCCTGCATTCGTTACTCTGTAGCTACTGGAGCAGAACTCCAGACCTTTCCTGTGTCTTAGACGAATACTCCTTCGTAGGATATACGATGTGACGTTAGTATTGCAAAGTTCCTGTACAGAATTCAAAAGTAGTAATATACTTGCTTCGTGGAAAGTATTCTCAATTACCACTCGCATCTCCCGGGGCTTTGTTAGAAATGCAGGTCCTCAAACGCCCACCCCAGACCTGAGTCAGCACCAGCGTTTCCACCAGCTCATTCAGCAATCCCAGCGCACACCACTGTGCATAAAGGCCCGCGCTACAGCCTCCTCGGGAAGGCAGAGCCACTGCAAGACCTAAACAGGAGGTGGCCGCATAGAAAGGGCCCGCAGGAGACCATCCGAGGCCCTCCAGCAGACACTGCGACCAGCATTCCCCAGGAGGAATGTCATCCGCTAGGCTAATCCACCCTCGCTGTGGGGGGTGGGGTGAGAAGCGGAAGCCGGGAACTTGACCCCTTTTGCAGCAGACGGGAGTTGCGGCACGGGAGGTGTGTGAGTGAGCGCGCCTCTTCCTGGACCCAGCTAAGAGCGGCCAAGGCTGACAAGACCAAGTCCCCGCCCCCTTTCGCTGTCACCCTGTCAAAACAAAGCCGCAGCTTGGAGCGCTTGGCCAGTCCTCCCTGCGGCCCGGGGAATGGAGCCCCCTACACGTGCATCTCCACCCGGAGACTCCAGGATGCCCGAAGCCCTCAGGGAGGGAGACTGGCAAGAAAACTGTCTTCAAACTGAGAAGTGCTCGTCTCCTGGGCTGTCACCTCGCCAGACCTTGTTTACACCCTAGACGGCCAGGAGGGCTCTTTCACCCAACAAATAATAACACAATAATGACAGGGCTGTCGCCGCGCGGCCAAGGCCGCCAGGCGCCAAAGGACCCGGGCTTGGGGCTGTGCCCACCTCCCACCACGCACTCCGCCCCTTCGCTCCCGCAGAGCGCCAGGATTCCGGGACTCTTCGGCGCGCTCGCTCGCAACCCAGCTCCTCCTAGCGGGGCACGGTGGGGAGGGCAAGCGCAGGGAGACACACTCAGACCCTCACCCCAAAAAGATGCTTCCCAGCCGCGATCCGTTCGCTACACCAAGCACAGTTTTGCTACCCGTCAAAGGTCTCCCGCGAACTCCTACAGAGCAACAAAGCCGCAGGATAGCCCCGGCGCTTGGAAGCCAAGCCTCGTCTTTCCCAGAGGAGGGAGACAGGCAGATCCGGATGGCCCCCAGCCCTGCGGGACGCAGTGCGAGCACGCGGCCGGCGGCGGAGCGCGCGCAACCGGGGCAGCACTTCCGCGGTGCCCGCGGGAGGCCCGAGCGGGGTGGGGGAGGGGAGGGGTCCGGGCCCGGCCGTGACCCCGCGATCGCGCGCGTCCCAGCGGGTACCTTGCAGGCAGAGTACACGCCGAGTTTCTCCAGTTTCTTCGCCCGCGGAGCGGAGCGCAGCTGCGCCTTCTTCACGGCGATCCGGGCCGAGCCGCCGCCTCCCGGCCCCTCGGCTGTGCCCGCCGCCGCCACCGCGGTCGCCGGCCCGCAGGAAGCAGAGCTCCCAGAGGCGGTGGCCAGGGTCCGGGGGGAGCCGTGCGGGGGCGCGGGCGGCAGTGCGGGGGGGCCGGCCCCGCCAGCCTCGGCCATGCCGCCCCGAGTGTCACCCGCCGCCGCCAGGGTCCCCGCGGGCGCCGGTGGCGGAGCCGAGGACCCCCCCACCTCGGGCCGCCGCCCTGAGCCCTCCCCGCCCCCGCCGCGCTCCGCCGCCGGCGTTCGCAGGCCCCCGAGCGGCCCGGGGTGGCTAGGACGCTAGCGGGCCTGAGCGCCCGGGCCGCGCTCCGCTCCCCTGGGCCGCCGGCATGTTGCTGCGAGCTTGGCCACCGGCCCGGCGCGCCAGGGCCCCTGGGTGACCCCGCGACCCGAGAGGCCGGGCCGCTGCAGCCCAGGCACCTGCCGCCCCGCGCCGCGGCGTTCCTGGGCCTGACACCCTCCCGCGCCGAGACCCAACTTCCTCCACCCTAGCGGGAGCCGAAGGAAAAAATGTTTTCCAGAAGTATCCGTCAGCGGCCAATCCTCCTCTTTTGTTGCTAATTCCCCGAAATCATGGCGTGAGGGGTTCCTTTTCTTTCTTCCTTCCTTTCTTTTTTCTTTCTTTCTTTCTTTCTTTCTTTATTTCTTTCTTTTAAGAGACTTTGGGTCAAACTTTTTCTTTTAAGAATTCTTCCCCTGCTGATTTCTGAACAGAATCTGCCAAAAGAAAAACTCAAATAGATTCTGTTAAAAAAAAATACACACAAAACACACACTCAGTGGTTAAACAACGTTACCGGTCGGCAAAATGAAAGCCAAGTACGTGGGAAAAGTTTGAAATGGGTCTTCCTGCAGGGGTCACCCGGGTCGGCAGGGTTGCATTCTGCTGTTAACTTTTCTTGTCTATTATGTTTTTTAATGTGAAACCCTGGCGTGCATGCTAGCCGGGAAGATTGTGTCCAGGAGTGATGCTGATTCCGACTTAAACTTCATAAGCAAAACTATTGTTCCTATCGCTGAGGGCAGGGTGTTTAAGGTTTTCATCATGGGTCCACCCTCCTAAATCGACATGAAAAGTCCTGCATTGCCTGTCAGTACCACTGGCAAGTGCCCTAATTCTGCAGAGCAAGCATGGCCATATGTGGGACTTGGGTGGTAATGTGTTTGTGGTTGGTTGTCTCGCAAGCTTGATAGCTCCCGCCAAACTCCAGCCATAAGGGATATGCTTTCCCTTGTAAATCCTTCCTTGCCCATCCTGTTTATTGCAATTTGGTTTTCGAGATCCCCTTTCCAGATCCAGTGCCCTTTAACTGGGGCGGTTACAGTTTCTAACGGTGATGCTATGCCAGGGGAGAGGAAGTCCCTTCTCTTCTGTAAGCAGAGAAGCCTGCTGCTGTGAAATGGCAGCTTCTTACTAGGTTGCATCTGACCAGTGTCCCTCCCTAGTCTTGGCCTTGGGCCAGTATGGAGGCTCATGCCTATAATCTCAGTACTTGAGAGGCTGAAAAAGGAGGTTGGCCATGAGTTCTAGAGTGTCCTGGGCTCCAGAGTGAGACTCCTGTCTCAAAAATATGAATCAGTAAGGCCAGGCATGGTGGCCTAAACCTTCACTCCCAGAAATATGGACGCAAAAGCAGGCCAGTCTATATGACTTCAAGACAATGTAGTCTACATTAAGGAGTTCCAAGTCAGCCAGGAGACCCTGTGTATAAATGAAAAACAAAACAAAACAAAAAACAGAGGTTTTGAAGTACTTTCTACAGTTTCCCTCTGATGTTCTGTGAGTTTTTTACAAGAATGTCATTAGCCATGGTGACTTTACTGGAGAATCCAGGATCCCTTATATGTTCTTAGTGTCCTTCATCTAAGACTATTTAAACGAAGCTTGAGGTCCATTGTATCATAGTAAAAAGTGAAGCCTGGCAGCTGCCCAGAGAGAGACTCACAAAAGGAGGAGGAAAACCGGCTTCTCCTAGTTGGGATCCAGAAAAGTAAGCCTATTCTGCAGTTGGGGGAGTGCATCTTTCAGAGAAAAGCAGAGAATGCCCACCCAGAGTGTCAGGGAAAATATGCCTTTGCTTGTGGCCAGTAACTGAAGACAGAAAGTCTGGGAAAGTAAAGGATAAGCCTTCTGAGTTAAAGGTCGAAATGCAGACACAGAGGGGCTTATGGGTAGGTGTAAGAACATCATCTCATTTAAGGGGGTGAGAATGTTTCCAGGCTCTTATGTTATAGGTATATCTGATTTCCTAAGAGGTGATTTTTTTAGTAGGTTTTCTGTATCATGATAATAGGTTTCCTGCTGATGCAGTAAACCAGATTGAGCCTAATTGAAAAAGGGAAAGAAAAGGCTTATTTGAGCAAAGCAACTCTTGGGTGAGTTCTCTAGTACCAGAGATGGAGGCAGAAGTCATATGCCTGAACTAAAGAGTGAGGTTATATAGCCTGTAGGTGAGGGGTGATGATATGTCGTCCACAAGCTGGGTTTATGCCCAAGTTAAAAAACAGCACCTTAGACCTAGATTTGACTGCCGGCAACTTCAAGGGAGGAGCTACTGCTGTGCCAAGAATTCGGAACTAGGCTTTTTAGTGCCTTTGTTGGAGATTCTCTGAGAGGGTGTGGTTTGGAGAGAGAGAGATGGGACGTCTCAGATTGTGCAAGATGGAGCTAGAGGTTCCAACTGAACAATTTTTTTTTCTTGAAACAGGATTTCCTCTACTACCTCCTGCTGGTCAAGTGATTTGACAAGCCCAGTTGGGAGAGAACAATAGTTTGTCTTTGCAACCTTTATGTTTTGCTTTGAGCAGTGTAAAATGTATCTCCACCCAGAGTCAGAGATCCATCCTAGTTCTCAATTCTCTCAACAATGAAAATATAACACAGCAGGCTAAAGACAATGTTTTAAAAAGAAATCTATGCAAGGTGCAATGGCACACGCCTGTAATCCCAGCACTCAGGAGACAAAAGTAGGTGAATCTCTTCGAAGTCAAAACCAGCCAGGGTTATGTAGTGAGATCCTGTCTCAAAAAATAAAAATGAACATGTAAAGTAGCCAAGCTTGGTGCTGGAGAGATGGCTCAGCAGTTCAGAACACTTGTTGCTTTTGCAGAGAACCCAGGCTCAATTCCCAGCATCAGATGACAATTCACAAACCATCGCAACTCTAGTTCCAACAGATCTACTCCTGATCTGCACAGGCACCAGGCGCACACGTGGTGTACATCCACACATTATATGCAGACAAATATATATATAAATCAATAAATCTGAAACAATTCCTTTTAAATAGACAAGCTTTCAGAGGAAGAAACAGCCCCTTCCAAAGTGGCCTTCAACAAAGCCCTGCTACTTCTGCCTTCCTCTATTTCATACAGTATTTTAAGTTCTAAGGAAGGACAACTGTGATACTTCCCTTTCTACAACACGGCTGTGGTAGCTAGGAATGATGATGCCTACTTGCAATCCCAGGACTTTGGAAGCAGAGAGAGACGGTAACTAGTTCAAAGCCAGGCTGGACTACATAATGGGATGCTATCTTTATATTATTTAATTAAATTAAAAGCTGTGTTGCCACATGTGGTGATTTGAATAAAAATGACCGCATAGGTCCCTAGGGAGTGGCACTATTAGGAGGTGTGGCCTTGTTGGAGTAGGTATGTTGGAGTAGGTGTGGCTTTGTTGAAGGAGGTGTGTCACAAAAGGGGGGGCTTTGAGGCCTCAGAAGCTCATTCTCCAACACCATGCCTGCATACTGCCATGCTTCTCACCCTGGAGATAATGGACTAGGCCTCTGAATTGTAAGTCAGTCCAAATTAAATGTTCTCCTTTTTAAGAGTTGCCCTGGTCATGGTGTCTCTTCAGAGCAATAAAACCCTAAGACACCATGTGCCATGCAGGTGTTATATACGCTGCTAGAGGAGAAAAGAGATCAGTGGTATCCATTGGTGAAGCCTGAATGCTACAATACTGTCTTGCCAAACTCTTGCCTAGTGTCCATTGGTACAAGAGTGGCAGGAAGGCTATAGGAGTAATTAACCATTTTTTTCCTTGGATTTGAGCCAGGTCCACAGGAGAGAGAACTCATGTCTGGTACTATCAACCTGGAAACAAGTCCATGACTTGGAGGTCATAGACTACAAGAAGGATCCTATCACTGTTGCTTTGTTACGTGGGCAGACATGCTGTCAAATTTACTTTCTAAATATTTATGCTCACCAGGAAGCAGTTAATACAGACTCATAACTGGTCAGAGCGCTGAGAATAAGTGGCTGTCGGATGCTCAGCTCCAAATGGGGAATCTGTATTAACTGCCCTCCACTCAAAGCTCAGGGAATGTGGTGGAGAAAGAATTTAAGAACTAGAGGATGGGGAACAGTACTGTGCAATGGTGTTGTGCTGGATAGTTTTATGTCCACTTGACACTACTACTTTTGCCAGGGAGTCAGCTTTGTCCTCAAGGTCCTGAACTGACCTGTACACAGTCTGTACATCACCGGCAAGTCATTGAGATAGCTTGAGTATGTCTGTATAGCTACTCCCAGGCCTGCGGAGCCGGTGGCTAAGGCCCCTGATACTCCAAGTCCCACTAACAGGGGGGTGAATTGGATGGCTCTCCTTATGTCTGGGAATAGGATAGTCTATGCTAGGTATTGGAATGGGCTCACTTCCTGGAATAAACTCTACATCTGGGAGAAGGGTGGCTAATACACATAACTCTGTCCAATTTGTAGGCAACATGGAATAAGCCATTCCATTTCCACATGAAAAAACTTGTCCAGGCCTAGGACAAAGAGCTATGGATACAGCAATTATTGAAGAGCAGGAAGTGAATGACGCTTATTGTACATCTTTATCAAGG